GGTCAACAGTAGAATAAAAATTGAAATGGGTAGAGAAACAAATGAGAAATGAAGAAGAGAAGGATAAACATGGATAATTCATCCAGAATTTTCACAAGGTGTTGCTGGGTGTGATAGCCAAGAGAATATGCAATGTCTCTGGTGCTAGAAATGTGTCCTCTCCAGTATACTATACCTCAGCCTCTTAAATGCCAAAGCAGAAAGGTTTGCTCAAGTGCCGCAGACCCTGCTGGCAAACTGGTTATTTGCATGCCATGCTGCCATCCTTCATGCACAAGACATGTGATCAGAAGTGAAATATTGCTAATTGGGCAGAACACTTGAACTGCACATTATCTAACAATCAGTTTGAAGGACTTTGCCATTGAGCTGATTGATAGGTCTGTTTTTGTGCAAGGCCATCCATGGATGCCCATCTGTTCATAATGGTAGCAAAGTCTCTTTGAGATAGCATGTGTCTGTGCATGAAAAGCTTCTGGGCAGCAATTTGAATTTTGAATAAATGATCTCGGTGCATGTCCATTTTGAACATTGCTGAGCTGACTAGCTATGTCTTGCATGGGTGCCAAAAATAACTTAATGTAAAAAAGGAGAGATCAGAAACATCACCTGTTATTTCAATTTACTCAACAGATATATTGCCTCTTTAGTAGATTTTGTTGGGCACTGTCTCCAGGTGCAAGTCAGGGCAGACTCCATCTATAATAGACACCACAGTAAACAAAAAAGAAAAAGTTTGTATCTTTATGATGCTTACAGGGGGAACAATAATAAGCAAAAAACAAAAACAAAAATAAAAAGCAAAAACATATGGTAGGTGGTGAAGGACCTCCGGGAAAAGAGGAAATTAGCAGGGAAAAGGTATTCGAGATTTTTGAGGGGGAAGATGAAAGCTGAGTCAGTGAGAACCTCCATGAAATGGTAACATTTCAGTAAAGACTTAAGTTGAGGGAGTAATCCAAAGAGCTACCTGGAGAAAGAATATTTTAGGCAAAGAAAAAAGAAAAAAGAATCAGAGAGATAATATGGAAAAGAATATAATAGAACCCGGCCATTTGAAAGACTGTATTGAGTTATTTTGAACAGGAATAACTGATTCTGGACACCTAAGGAACTCTATGGAAAACAGATAGTTTACAATGTTAAAAGTATAATGAAGCATTGCTTATCATTCTACTCTTCCTTTTGAAAGTGGTGGTTCTGCAAGTGGACTTCACATATCTTCGTGGTCAGGTCATAGGAACCCTTCTTTCTTGAAGACTAGAATAATTGACGATATACTTCTCTGGAAGTAAAGAAGTATCTTTACTTCCATCAGAAGTATCTTTACTTGCACAGTAAAAATAATGTGGAAATTTGAAAGAAACCTTCCAAAACTTCAGGACAGAATTATGCACTGAAAATATCAGCTTTTGTGTTATTTTTTTAAACTCAAGGCATTATTATGAAAAAGTCTTCACATGACATTTGTAAGATATTACAAAGCCTTTTTACTTGTTTACAAATATTATCCAATAAATAGAATCTACTGAAAAAGAACATGGTTATTTGAGTAAAGAAAGGGAATACACACTGAAAAAAAAAACTATGACTCTTCCATATATATATGTGTGTATATATATATATATATGGCTTATCATATATATATATGGCTTATCATATATATATATGGCCATATATATGGCTCTTTATATATATATAACATCCATATTATATTATAAAATATCCATATATATATTATATATATAAAACATCCATATTATATTATAAAATATCCATATATATAAAACATCCATATTATATTATAAAATATCCATATATGTTATATATATAAAACATCCATATTATTGTGATAAGGTTGGGGTAACAATATTAAACTTGCAATATGCTGTGAAAAGATATCTAGTGAAAGCACTATATTAAAAATGAATGTAATTAATTTTATACAGAAGTGATCTTTTCAACTAAGGTTTATGTGTTCCATTAGTCTATAGATAGAGTAAGGAATAAATACTGCTAGGTAAAAAAGGATTTAACAGAGCTAAATAAATAGTGGTCACACCTATCAAACTAAGAATATGGTTGTATATATATGTAGTCACAGGTCTGGAAATATGGTTTTTCATCCTGACTATGTCATTAACTGGCACTTTCCTATTTAATGTAACTATTTTAACTATTTACTATTTATTGGACCTTAGTTTCCTTCCTTATATAGGCAATAACTAAATTTTCTTGTTAAAGAGCTCCATACAAATCAGCTGCCATGGCCAGAGTTGAATCAAGATTCTCTAACAAGTTCCATACTCAGTAATTCATTAGGATTACCTTACTTAGAGATGTTAATTGCACAGTATTGTACCCCAATCACTTTTTGTCCCCATACACATTATAAATAGATTGCAGTAGATTTCCCTTTTGCATCCATCAGAATTCAGGGTTCATAAGAAGCTTTCTCCCCATTTTGGCATAGTATCTAATGCAATTATGACCAAATAATTAGAGCTGGCACTCACATTAAAACAATTTTCTATCTTATCACTAGGGGAATGATTATAGTGGAGTCAAGTGTTCCTACTATAGCTAATAAGAGCACTTACATCTTGTTAGTCAATTTCTTCTATCCCTAAAGGGGTCTAACATGTCATCAATTCTGCCATCAAAGCAGTTGTCATACCCTGAGAATAACCAAAATTAATCAATTAGCTTTGCAGTCAAAGAGGCCTAAACATAAAGAATTCATTTTTCATCTTAAAATCTGTTTCTATCTTGAGAAGGGTGCTTTCAGACATTCAACAAGTAGAAAAATCAGTGAATTCGTGATCTTCTTCCATCTGACCACTCACTTTCTTATTACCCAAACCCACAAGAACTTGGATAAGAAGAAATCTGTGATTGTTTCAATTATAATGAAAAATTTTAACAATGTTATAACTCTAAAAAATTTTAATCTGTTGACAGCTTGTGACCCACAAGTTGCTGTTTAAAATTAAAATCTATTCAAAATGAAACTGGAAAGGCAACTACAATATTAAACTTGCAATATGCTGTGAAAAGATATCTAGTGAAAGCACTATATTAAAAATGAATGTAATTAATTTTATACAGCAGTTGCAACTGAAATCTAAAACAGATAGCTCTTTAATGCATTGCCTTATTAAATTAAAATTGGTTGAATAATCTTTTTTCTTTCTTTTTTTTAATAATTACAGTCAAAGGAGAAGTGGATTGGTTTGTCTTTGGCAATATACCCTTTGGCAGAGCTCCAGGTATAATGTAGACTTCTAGAGTTCTCCTTGATGAATAAAAGCCTTCTATTTTTCATATCCCAAATGTTCACCCCTGTAAATTTAGTAATTTTTCCACCTGCTAAATTTTAAGTTTACTTACAGCCTATAAACTATCATTACTCAAGAAATATTAAATATGATGTCTAAACTGTTGATATGTTCATTTTAAAAAAGAACTACACTGATATTTTTATAGATCATCTAAATCTGATAAGAATTCAGAATATTTTTAAAAATTTATATGTTTGTATCAGTGCTTCAGTTCTACACTAAATAATAAAATATATAAAATTCAACTCAACAGTATATATTTTTACCCCATATTTCAACATAAAAGAATTATATGCGTAATAAAAGGATTCACTGAAGCTGTTTGCAAATAATGACCAAATCATAGCTATTTTTTAGTTTTCCAAAGGTGCCAAAAAACTATTAAAATTTCCATAATCTAACATCATAATAATAGAAATTAATATATGTACTTAATTGCAGCCTTAATGTTCCCATACAATACTTGTTGAAGAGAATCACAATACATTAAAATAGCATTAACTGGAAATAAGAAAGTATTTCATTTCATACTCAGAAAAAGATTCACCCAGTCTTTTCAAGATATCAAGAGCACTGTAATTTCTCAATTATTTTTATTCATTATCCCTACAACATATAGTATATGTTCAATAAATGTTAGTTGAATGAATGGGTGAGTGTGTGTAATTTGATCACAAACACACTCAGGGAAAATACCTAGTATTTGGTTGCTACAGGACTACTGCATGGACAACTGCTGTCGCAGTAGGGTTCCTAAAATCTCTCTGCCATATTCTATTTTTACTCATATGTGTGGGGAAAAAAAAAAAGATAAAGGATTCAGTCCAGAAAGTGAGTATTACATAGAAGCTGAATGTATCCTAACGACAGGGGCTATAGCGACATAGCATATGAATTTCCTCAGGTATTTCCTAAGGTTTTCTTACATATAAAACTTGATATTAGTTCTGATATAAAATATATTTATATTGGAGTAGGATCGCTGTCATTCTTGACCAGACCTCATCAAATCTCTCCAGGGTTGTCAGCTTTGAAACTGATTGGGGCTCTCAGGTGCTGTTCATGGTGCTGAAATAGAAGAGAGGGTCCTATTTTAAATCTTCCCTTCCTCTGATTGGTTTAGGAATTAGAGTGACAAGAGAAGGGGCCAAAGGAGCCTGCAGCGGCATCATTAATGTGAACCAAGTATTTCGATCATCTGAACGGAAATGTGGTCCATCAGGTTACAGCCAATGCATCCCTGCGAGCTCTCTCTAAAACGATAGACCTTCAGATGTAGCCGCTGCAGTAGAAGAGATTACATCCAAGAGGATGTCTTGTCTCTCTCCTGAAAAACTGGCAGCCAAGTGCATAGCCTAGAAACAGAATAGGGGAGTCTAGGTGCAGGGGAAGGGAAGGAAACAAACCTGTATTCATGTTGAAAATGCTCAGTTATTTGTGTGAGATAAAGAAAAACCAAGAGCTGATTTTTACCTTAAGTTTTCGACCCCAGTCTTCCAACAGGTGTATGACTTTTTCACCCTTTCCCTGTCAGTACTGTTTTGCTTTGCCTTTCTAAGATTTTCTTTGCGAGGCAAGCTTTTCCTAGAGTCCTTAAGCATGTGCCGTTTCCCTCCTCATCCACAGCTCCAATTCTACGCACAGCAACCCCTTCCTTACCTGCAGCGTGAAGATTAAGAAGCAGGCACAGCGCAGGGAAGATGACTGCTCTCCGCATAATGTTTGCATCGAGAGGCGGAGGGCAAACTCCACCACGACCCCACTTCAGGTAAAGTGTTATTAGAAAGAGCCGCCAGCAAGGATCCTCTGGTCTCCGAGATTCATTCGCAGGTCCTCCGCTTGGGTTTGCAGAGCGATCTGTGGCGCCTACAGAAATAAGCACCAGCTTCGCTTCCCGACGAGAGGGGGACGAGAAAGAGGAGGAAGAGGAGGAGGGTGGGGGCCCCAGCGTTCAGAAGCGGCTAACGCTTGGTCTTTCTGGAAGCCCCGAGTCGTGGTGGAGAAAGCGGGGTGGACTCAGGTTCCAGCCCTGGATCGCGGCTGCCTGGCAGTCTGTACAGTGTGAGCAGCTAGAGACGCGCGGCGGCTACTGAGCATGCCCAGCGCTGGTCTTCACGCAGCAGGGGAGTTTCAAAGAGAAATTCCGCTTCTCCGGGTCTTAGCGGCTACTGCCAGGGGAGCAGGCTCAGCTGTGGGGCTTTGGAGGGGAAATGGAGGGGAGGGAGGGAGGTGGGCTTCTTGGAGAGGTTGTTAGTAATAAAAAGTCTATCAAAAACACGGGAGTGGAAGGCTTGGGGCTAGCGGAGGGCCTGACCAGAGCAAGCAGATAGCTTGACACAGTGTCAACTTCACCAACCACTCGACCTCTGAATCTTAGTTACACGTGGACAGAATCTACTGCTGGGAATTGACATCTGCTGGAGCCCAGACTGATGAGCCTCTCAGGGCTGCCTATAAGAATGAAGTATAGGTGTGTTCTGTTGCTAAACATCCTGCCTTACCCCAGGAAGCTTCCCAATGCAGCCAGCTTGGTATAGAGAGTAAATGGTATCCTATTCAAGTCCAAAGTCTATGACCATAGTAACATAGAACGGAAGTAATACTTCTAGACGTAGAGTATATCCATGTAAGTGAAGAAAAGAACTGAAGAAGACTAATGTAACTGCTTTATGGAGATAATTGTTTTCAGTCTTCATTTTACTTTCTAAGGTGAAAAGCAATGGATCCACATGTGTAGCTGGGATTGTCTGGTCCAGCTCTTCCTCTCTAGGCAGGCTGCAATGGTCTAATATAAACGATCTTACTTGCTTCTCCAATGCCCATCTAAGACTTTGGGGTGTGGGTCCTTGTGTTAATCTGGTGCTAAAAACTCCTAGCCATAAAGTCCTCAGCCAGATGCACTGATCTTTCTGCCTCAGTGTCTTTATGGGATGTCATTGTCCCTTCCCCTGTGGCCTCCACTTGCTTCACCCCCACATTCAAGATTACAAAGGTTTAATCTTGGTCTTACTTTTCCAGAAAACCCTGACCTTGCTCCAAATTACAGTGATATTTCCCTTCTACACATGAATGCATATGTGACACACCTCATTTTCTTAAAGACATTTATTTGACTGTGGCCTATCTTCCAACACAATTGTAGTTTCATAGAATTTATGCATCTTTGTATTACTTAGATTGAATGAAGCCATTCTAAACAAATAAAAGATTCAAATAAGTGCCTATTCTATTGTGCTGCATATTTCATTCAATGTGTTCTTCATCTACAATGACTGGAAAAACTAATAGGAAATATGCTTCCCACAAGAGTTTAAATTAGAAACGATTTCATAGGTTGTGAGGGCCCAGACACTTCTTTTATAATTTGTTTTATTGCCATCACTGACAGACAAGGCCAGGAAATGTACTATAACAAGTGAGAGAAAGGAAGGATGAGATGTATTTTTAATACCTTGATGGTGTTCTGGGCTGAAAATAAAGATGTATCTATTTTCCTTCCCCTCTTCTCTATTTCCCACATGGGTTTGTGATGTACCATTTTGGTAGCTCTGCCACTTTGTCTCAGACTACTTTAAAGATTTGTTCATTTATTCATATAAGAACTGGAGTACAAGCCAAAGGTGTAGGGATTGAGAAGATTCACCAAAGACCAAGTGGAGAGCAGAACAGACAGATTGACTGAATACACTGCTGAGGGAAGCAGCGGGGAGACAGGAGAGGTCTGCTGCACCATGTGGGTCACTTACCTGACCGGGGATCGAACTCATGCCGCAGTGGCTGCAGATAGCCACTTTAATGCTGCACTTTAATCAATTGGGCCACCAGGGAGGCTCCATCCCAAACTACTTTAAGCTTCAACCTTTCCCCCATCCTTTTTCATGCAATATATACAATTTTTTAACATACCAAAGGGATTAGTTATTAAGTATGCCATTTATTGCCTGTTTCCTTATACTCCCAAGTCCTCTACAATGAACTTCAACCTATAACAACTAAGATCTTGGACATTTTATTCACTGATGTATCCCAACCAACTCACACAGTGCTTCCACAAACAGGTGCTCAACAAATGAAAAAAAAAATTGAAAATGTTTAATACTGATCATTAGCATAGGTCTTTGGAATTCATAGAGAATAGTAACTTGAGACAATTTATTTAGCTATGGTTAAAACTTAGAGGATCAATCCCATTCATCTAAATTGTGGTACAAGAGTTAATGAAGGCCTGGGAGTCAGAGTGGGATAATATTAGCCAATTTACAATGGTTTTGTTTCCCTTATTTTCTTCCTCCCCATAAAGCATCAAGCAAAACCACGAATTTAGAAAACTTTACACAGGTCTTCAAGAAATCACTTGTGGTAATGAAACAATGTTTTCAAAATGTCCTGAGCCCTTCATTTTCCTATGGACAACTTCAACAGTTTGGTGGAAAGGGGTTGGGTGGGGAAGAGACAAGCATTAAGTTTCAAATATTATAATTGGCTGTGATTTTGCCAGCAAGGGCCTAGTTAGGGATTTATTTTGCCCAGAGGTGCTGGTAACTAAATTATTAAATTTTTATGCATAAAAATTCCCTGAGTAGCAAAATTTTCCAATTTCCAATTTGATTAGGTATACCACTAGAATAGCTCAGCATGGTAAAAATAACTTCAAGTGAGCTGTAATTTTGGTGACTGGACATTCATTATTCATTTACTTTAGAAGATGAAGGAACAAGAAAAATTCCTTGGTGAGTCAATGTAAAACACTGCCAGTTAATTTGAGACTATGGCGTAACATCCAAAGACAATAGATGACCTAACCAGTTAGTGAAAAAGTCAAACCCTTAACTCTTGGAGAATTCTTCCTTGTGAATGAATAAATAGAGCTTTCCCTTCAATCTGGGATGCAATACTAATAAAGACAACTTGGTTTTTTAGAGAAGAAGCTGGTTAATACATTGCTTCAGGGTCTTTATAAGTTAGTTCCAATTCACAGAAGCATAAAAAATGATATGAGGAGCCATACAAATTTATACTGGCCTAACAAATCATTTATACTTTAAAAGATTAATAAAAAAATTAGTGTCATCTTCAGTTTTCCTCCAGGGTTTAGGAGCTTGCACAGGAAATAGAAAATAAATAACATATTTCATAACTAGTTCTTATGATATGTTAAAAATCTACAGTAGTAGAAATAATGGCTATTTCTCATGAAGTGAGATTCAGAGAGAATTTACACAGGAGAAAAGTATTATAGTGTCTTTCCTCAAACCAACTTTAATTGTTATGAACCTCCACATTAATTTATCTATAAAAATAGATGAAAGCCATTCATGTTGGCCACCTTTCCTTAGGACATTTTAAATGTTGGCTATATTGACTCAGAACTTTCTACTTGTTATTTAAATTATTACTATTATTTAAATATTATGATAGCTAACAAGGATCGTCTCCTATGTTTCTGGTTCTGTTCTAAACTGTGAATATTCAAGATAAACTTTATAGTACCCCTGCAAGGAGGCATTATCATCAGCTCACTTTAGACATGAAGTAATTGAGGCATGGAGAATTACTTGCTTGAAACCAAGTAGTAAGTAATCAAGCAAGAGGAAGTTGATAGTTAGGATGCATAATAGGATAATTTGATACTAGACCTCTCTATATATTATATATAACATCTCATAGTATATATATACATATATATAAAATATCTCTATAGATCTATATTTATATTTAGTTATATGTATATAGTATAGTTAGTTGGTTATTATATATATGAATATAGTTAGTGAGTTACATCTGGTTCACTAAAAGCCTACCTGGGTGAGAGCAGGAGATGCTGCTGAAAGCAAAAAGCTGTGTGGTGAAAAACACCCATAGGAGGTTGTCTCCAAGAGAGTGAGACACTACTTTGGCAGTGAATTCTGGGACCCAGGATCTAGTGAACAAAGACAGACATCAAGTAAAATCATGCTTGGCAGAACTGTTAGAAAGATGCCAAAGGATGGCCCTTCCTGGTGATGCAACGGGTTAGGGCACAGCACTACAAGCTAGCTGCAGTCACTTCAGTGTGAGTTCAATCCCCTGCCCTGGACGTGATCCACATGGTGTGGCAGACCTCTCCTGTCTTGCCCACTGCTCTCCTCAGCAGTGTACTTTGTTAATCTGCCTGTTCTGCTTCCCACTCTGGCTCTAGTGAATCCTCTTCCCAACTTTGCACCTCTGGCTTGGCCCCCAATTCTGGATGCATAAATAACTAAATCTTAAAAAAAGAAAGAATGAAAGAAAGATACCAAAGGTAAAGTAGAAGAGGAGCTAAGACGGTCTCTTCTATGGAGGTGAGTACAAGGCAGGGAAGGGTAGCGAACATGAAGCTAGTGGAGAACAGTATTTGAGCCAGATCTATATGGGTAAGTAGGTTTGAATTGTTTTACGTGAAAAGCAAGCTCTGGGATTGTATGACCTGGCCAAAGACACATGAAGTAGTGAAATGATTTCAAGGGAGATTGAATGTACTCGGAAGAGTAAGTGACAGTAACCACCACCAAATTGAGATCTGTAACGTGGTCCCCTGCACCAGTCTTTAGAGAATCACCTCATCAATCTCAAAGCCTATTTCTTTTTTTTTCTTTTTTCTGAGCGATATCCATGTATAGGAAGGACAAAAGAGAATGAATAATTTTGAAAAATAAGGAATTCATATGAATTGAGCTATATTCAAAGTGGAATGGGTCAAAACAAAAATGAATAAATTGGAATTTCACAGGCAAAGATCTCATGTTCAGGTATGTAGTTTCACATCTATTTTTTTTAAAGATTTATTTACTTTTGTATACAAGAACAGGGGTACAGGCCAGATGTGTGTGGGGGGTGGTGAGAAGATATACCAGAGACAGAGTAGGGAGCAGAACAAGTAGATCAACTGAAATACACTGCTGAGGGGAGCAGCGGGCAGATCAGGAGAGGTCTACCATACCATGTGATCACCTCCTTGGCCAGGGATGGAACTTATGCTGCAGTGGCTGTGTAGAGCTTCAGAATTCTGTGCTATAATCCACTGTGCCACCATAAAGGGCCTCACATCTATTTTTTAAAAAGTGCATGTTTTCT